TTTATTAATAATATTAGTTGATATCAATAAAAAATATTATGATTACTAAGTTTTTAAAGCAATTTATTTATATAAGAAACTTTTGATTTTGTATTAAATCTTTCAGAATTTTTTATGTTCTATTTTTATAGTTAACTTAGTTACACTATAATTAAAATTAACATTTGTAATTAGATTTATTATTAAATTGTTATGTTTTTGTAAAATTTATTTCAATTTTGATACTTATTTTATAATATATTTTTATTATTTTAGTATTTAAGTTTTATTAAGTTTTTAATTTAGATAACTTGAAAAGATAAATATAATTATATTTCTAGTTTATATATTTTTTAGTATATAATTTTTCTTATAAAGAATTTTGATAGTTTGGTTAGTTATAATAGTTTCTTTCTAAAGACTAATACATTATCTGATTTTACAAGTTTTAGTTCTGTTTTTTAAATTAAGTTTTTATAATAATATTAATAAAAGTTTAAAATATTTCTTTATTTAAATTTTCTAATCTTTGTTTTTTGGTTTTTTTTTTTTTTTGATATTAAACTAGTCTCTTTTGGGCCTAGGGTTTTATTCAGTAAATTGGACATAGGGACTCACAGCTAAAACCTCAAAGAAGTTACCTTATATTAGAGAATACAACTAGCTACATATACACTTTTGGTATCTAATTTAAGTAGTCCGCCAATAGTTCTATACTAGCTGCCATATCTGCAACCCAACTAGAGGCATTGCCTATTTAAACCCTCTGTGCTGCAATCCTTATTGTGTCATTAGATCATCTCTGATACAGTTATCAGTCAAGAAGGTCTAAATACTTTTACTCATTTCTCTTAGGACCCCATACCTTATTTTATGTAGTGTATTCTCAGAAGCATTATTACTAGAGCCTTCTGTGTCCCACACACAGCTAACCTAGTTTTATGTAACATGCTATAGTTACTCAACACTTGCAGTTACAGGGGTTACCTGTTTAACTGCTACATTACATTATTTCTACCTTTGTAAAGTTCATCCAAACCCTGGTACCTATCATTCTGACTTCTTCTCTTCATCTCTCTACTATCCAACTCAGAATCTGACAGACTCCTCAGACTTCCAATCCAAATAGCCCAGTATAGTATACCTTAGTATTCTTTTCCTCTGATAATTTTGGCAGCCTAGTTGGTCATATGCTCCTCTATACATCTTTCTATCTAGTTGCATGTCTGCCTATTCCTTATTGGGTTTCTTGGGCTTTCATCAGTCTGATAGCACCATCGAAAACTTGTGCTACTCTTTACTTGGAAATTTCCAAGTAAGCTTCTGTCTTCTCTGTTTCTTGATCTTCTACATCTGGTGGTCTTATCATAGGTGCACCAAAGTCTTATACAATACTAGTTATTAACATTCCTCTATGTACATGTAATATTACACTTCACATAGATGCCCCGGGCTCTCAATAATGAGTAGAATCCAATTGGTTGTATCCAAGATTACAGATACCTAAATCCAATTGATCGACAAGAGACAGTTTACCATAACACAGATATAATTACCAAATTTCATCATAAGTGGAATTTGAACCTTAGATCTGCCACTTGGAGGATGACAACCCAACCACTACACTAGGATCACCATCTTCTCTGTTTTTCAGATTTTTGTGATCACAAAAACTTATTATAAATTTATATTACTTAGTATTAGTTTGTGTTTCTTTATATAAATAAAAACATTATATAAATGCTATATAATTTTTTAGCTATATTGGTATAAAATAAATAATAAATATTTGAGTATAACTAATAATAAAAGATAGTTAATTGTAATACAAAAAAAATTTAAAATTTTTATTAATATTAAAATTTGAACTCTAGACTTGTAACTTGAAAATTAACAATGTAATCATTTTACTATATCATTATATTCTATTTTTTTTATAATAAATTTAATTAAATTCAAATTTAATATAAAAATAATAAACCTAATTTCAAATATTATACATGATTTTGCTAAAATTTGTATTATGTAATATGTTTAAAAATTAAAATTTTTTTAAAATTTGTTAAAGTTTATTTGGATTAGAACTAAGATATATACTAATATTATGATTATAGATAGTTTAATAATAAAATTAGTTAAATAAATCTTTTTATTAGTATATTATAAGTGATTTTTTTAAGAATAGTTAATTTTTAATAAAACAAACATTTGTTTTGAATTTATCTAATTGTATTATATTTTATTTGATTTTAAAATTTGATTTCTTTATATTATAAAAATTTATATAACTGTAACTTTTTTTAAAATAGTTTAGTACAAACCAATAAAATTACAAATAAAACAAATATTTATTTTATTAAAGCATTTTTATAACTTAAAATTTATATTAAAATTATTTTTAATATATTAATAAAAAATTTATTTAAATGATTTTATTAATATATTTTACTATTGTCTAATTATAATATAATTCTAATTCTAATCTTAATAAATTAATAATTTTTATTATTATTATATAGTTATGTTTTTTGGTAATATATTAAAAAAGATGAAAATTAAGAGTTTTAGTAAAATTTAATTTTCTTGTTTAAAAATATTTTTAGTATACTTTTTAACTTATTTTTGGTTATAAGAAATTTAAATTATCATATTATTATTTTTTTAAACATTTTGTTTAGTTTTAAATATTTTACTTAGTTTTAAACATTTTGTCTAGTTTTAGATATTTTATCTAGTTTTAAATTTTAGATAAAACTAAAACTTAAAATCTGAAATGTTTTAGATTTTAATAAGGGATTTAAGTTATAACTCTAGACATAATCTAATAATAATTTTTGTAATAATTTATAATATATAAAATTATATAACTGAAAGTTTTTTTGTAATCACATTTATTATAAATATTTTAGTTCAATTTTTAACAATAAAATTATTTATTTTTAATTTACTTTATTTTTTATTAAAAAAATAAACAAAAGTATAATAAATTAGAGTAGTTAATATGTTATTAATTTTTAAGTAACAGGTTAATATTTAAATCTTATTTATAATAAAATTTAAATATTATATTTGTATTATAGTAACTATTTTTTACTAATTAGTTAAATTTATATATCTATAATCTTAGATACATCAAGTCAGATTTTATTAATACTAAAAACTTAGACTATTTATATAAAGTGTAATATTACATATACATAAAGAAATATTAATAACTAATATTATATAAGACTTTAATACAAACTTATAATAAGACTATTAAGTATAAAAATTAAGAAATTAAAAAAATAAAAATCTATTTAAAAATTTCTAAATAAAGAGATAGTATAAACTTTTAACAATACTATTAAATTGATAAAAACTTATAAACACTTTTTTTAAAAAAATTTACTAAAAACTAAATGACAAGCTATAAGATTTTGTTAAAAAAACAGAATACAAAATATATTATACTAAATTATCTAATTTGATAATTTGAAAAAATCTAATTAATACTAAATAAAAAAATTAGTAAAAAATAATAAAGAAAATATCAAAAAGATAGGTACTATGATTTAGATAAATTTTACAAGAATAGAAATTATGTAATATAATGATTTAACAGAATATCTATAACTGCAAATGTTAATTCTTCTATAATATATTACATAAAACTAAATTAACTGTATATAGAACATGAAAAACTCTAATAACAATACCTTTGAGAATACATTGCATGAAATAAAATATGATGTTCTAAAAATATAAGTAAACATCTAATAATACTGTAAAGATTGCAATACAAAAAGTTTAAATAAGCAATATTTATAGTTGAATTGCAGATATGACAACTAGTGTAAAACCATAAGCAGACTACTTAAATTAAACACCAAAAGTGTATGTGTGACTAGTTGTATTCTCTAATGTAAAGGTAATTCCATTGAGACCTCGGTTATGAGTCTCTATATCCTATAATACTGAATAAAAACCCCAGCCTCCAAAAAGGCTAATTTAATGTATAAAAAATAAAAAAATAAAATTTAAAAAATAAGTTATTTTACATAAAAAAGACCAAAAACACTTCAATTTTATACAATTTTATAATATTGACGACTTGTTATTGGCTTCTCTTCAACAAATACATTGCAACCTTTTCAATCGTTACCCGATTTCAAAATTACACGAGTAACTTGATTAGTCTAATCTAGTTACAAACTATATAAAATACAAAGTTTGTTTAGCTTAAATTTATACATTGTATGTGAATTATGTATTAATTCTTAGAAAAAACTATGGTTTATAGTTATAGGATTTTTCGCCTTGATAAAAAGCCATTTACTGTACAGAAACATTTCATACCTATATATTTGGTGTTTTGCTCAAATTTATTACTATGCATGTATTATTTAATAATATACTGAATTTTCGTGTTTGCATTTATAGAACGTACGTATAAACTTGGTTTGACGTACAAAGGGCACCTAATACTAAGTTTAAAGTTTGGACTAGTTAAAGTGTGCATTTAGAATGTATATACTTAGGAAAAATATACATAAAATGTTTAACTATATATAACAAAAAAAATAATGATAATAAAAAATACCAAAATTCCAATTAATCTAGTCACGAAATTATTAATAAATATTTATACACTATACTCTTATAATTTGCTGTTGGAATTAATAGTTTCACTTTCGCTTCCTATTGGTTTCACTATAAGATGTAATCTGGCTACTTCTGCAATTTATATGTTAGTGTCAGTCATCTAAATGCATAAATTAACTTTGAAAAAATAAATAATAAAGCACTTTGATCTAAGCCTAATATATACACTAAATAGAGAAGCCTCAAAATAAATAATGAATGGCACATTTTAAGGAATCCTAGGGTGCAATAAAATATCTACTTTGTTCTAAATACAATTAGAGAAAAATAAATATTCTAATTATAGGAATTCATCAATAAAAACCTAATTAGAAGTTTTAGTAAAGGACCGAAAACATTAGCTTTATACCTTTGGTCGATGAAAACCCGTAAGATGCCTATGTCAATTCAACACCGCTAAATTGGTTTCCTTGTTTCATGGTCACAATATCCAAGATAGCATCTTGAATATATATTAGAATGTATAAATAAAGGACACATAATATAATAATGGAGTATCAATTTAGCAAAAAGAACTCTACCTTTGATTCTTAAAGGATTGCTACCACCAGATTCAGCACAAAACTGATAAAAGAATGTGTAATCAGACAAAAATATAAATCTAATATTTTAATATTTTAGTTAAAAAGAAACCTGCCATATAAAACTCTCTTTTCAAATCAATTCCAACGTTGCCAGAAGTGATGTAAATAACCGCTGTGGCCAATTCATCAGAACTATATGTCATTGCTATGCGAGTAGAACAAAGGCAGTTGATAATCATTGTCCAAACATTTTGCACAAACTTATTGAACAATGGGTTTGCATTTAGTTCGAATTCATCTTTTAAGGTCTGAATTACACGAGATGCTGAATCAATAGGCGTCTTGTTGAGTGACTCCCGACCAATTGCATTTTTGACGTTAGACATCATGATCTTGACGGTCTTCTTTAGTTTGTCACAATCATCCAGGGGAACATTCGGGTACTTTAATCTATATAATTACAATAAAAATAAAACATGTAAAATTATAGGCGTTCAATCGTTAGATCTTTTGTGAAATATACCTCCAACCAAGAGTAGTAGCTTTTCGAATTCCTTTAAAATATTTGGTGTTTTCAATTTCAATCAATATACAGGAGATTCCCAAAAGTTCATCATCGAATCCAAATTCGTCTATAAATTGTCCATGCCAGTTGATTTTGCGCTTACTATTATATTCATGATATTTATGATAAGACTGTAATACAGCCGCAACAATTGTCATAGGTAATTGCAGACGAATACAAAATTTCAAAATAAAATCGATAATGTCAGCTCTCGCATCGCTAATGATAGTTTTATGAATTAAAGGTGTTCGCAGGCTAGATTCACAGGCGAACTTAGGAGTTTGGAACAATAATCTCGGTTTTGTGTCTGTTCCTTTTACTGTTTCGTTGCCTCTTGTAATTTCAGAGATAGTAAAGCTAGCAGTCGGTTTTTGATTGATCTCTTCGAATTTTTTAGATGTTCCTTTATGCCGAGACGGCATATAGTTTGTGATATTCCTATCTACATTATATTTTTTTCTATTGTAAGGTCGCATAAATGAATTTTTTCCTAAGAACAAAGATTGATCTTGAAAGATTAATATCAAAAACAATGAATAATATTGATTACTATGATCCATATTATATATAGGGACGCTAATAGGTCCTCCATGATCTGACCGAGTCCTTCAATTCTTAAATCATAGAACGTATAATAGGCCACAATTTGGCATGAATCTAATCTACTACTATTCCTTTATAGCACAAAACCTGTAATTCTAATAATTACAATTTTAGGACTCGGCCTGATATAGTTCTGTTTTCACAAATTCTGCAACAATTAATAAATAATCGTATCAGTTGTCTCTGAATATATGAAAATGACTAATGGTTCATTAAACTGTATTAAATTATTCTTTTGACATTTCTAGTTATAGTCACACACTCTAAGCGCAGGTTTGATTAAAACCCTCTAAATGCAGACTATTTTTTGATCCAGAGAGTTATATATTTATATTTTGTATGTAGTTTACTCTCTTTAAACGAAGTTTTACAAAATGGGGAGGTTCTTTACATATGTCACATCACAATGCATTTAGAGAGAATTGATTGTATATGGTACAATGATAGCATTAAGAAATTCATAACATTGAAAGTGATCATCTCAAATGCTCAAATTTTGGCACATCACAATGTTAAACATTACCTGCATTTGATTCTTGTAAATCTGTATTCGCCGTATTCATATCATCTTTTAAATAATTGAATCTGTGGCTATTTATAATGTTTTTTGAATTCTGAAAAGTTGGAATATGATAAACTTTATTGGAATTAGGAATAGTATGCCGCTGAACATTATGGTATGAAAAGAATCTTGTTCTTGTTCTTGTTCTCGGCGATGATACAAAGGGTCGCTTTTCTGAATTTCGAACGGGAGACCTTGATTTTCTTGATGGGGAATCATTTCTCAAGCTTTGAGGTGGAGATCTAGATCTTGACCTTTGTGGTGAAAAACTACGCCTTGACCTTCGTGATGGAGAATCATTTCTCATGCTTTGAGTGGGAGATCTAGATCTTGATATTTGTGGTGAAAAACTACGCCTTGACCTTCGTGATGGAGAAATGCTTAATCTTTGTGACAACAAAGAATTACAACTTGACTTTTGAGGCGAACTATGTCTTGATCTTCGTGATAATAGAGAATTGCTCCTTGATCTTCGTGATAATAGAGAATTGCTCGATTTTCGTGATGATAGAGAACTACATCTTGATAATTGTGATGATAGGGAACTGCTCCTTGATCTTCGTGATGGCAGAAATCTGCTCCTTCTTGAACGATTACGAGATTTTCGTACATTTGATGACGGAGAACGGCGACGAGTTGCTCTTATAGGCGACTCGCGACTAAACGTTTGCGTGGGTGATGGTTTATGTATGTATTGTTCAGAATTCTCTCCATAATATTCTTGTGAAGGAGATTTATCTTGCCGATGTGCGTAACTCAACCCGTAGCTTGAGCAGTTAGACATAAAAGTTAGAAAATTCATGAGCTGGTTAATTTTTCATATTAATAATGCGTAATCCTGTTTGTATCACGTTATGGTGACACAACCTATGAGTTTGAACATGGTACGGGTGGCTTTACTGGTTTTATTGTAGACTACAAAAGTCAGAGCCACTTTGCGGGAAGTAATGCTTTTTATTACTAAATACAGCAGATCGTAGTATTTAACACTTGCATATATATATATATTTTTTTTTTGGTGTTAAGGTGCATATTTATATATATTTAATAACAATAATCATAATAATAATAAATATAAATATATATATAATAATAAACAAAATATAAACAAAAAAAAATTCCAACGGGTATGATCGAATATTTAATAACTTAACTGTTTAAATCCACGTCTCCTCTTTGGTAATGCTGGTAATTTATAATAGTAATTACCTTTACTTATATAAAAAGTTTTATTAAAGCTATAGAACTTTATAGTCAAAAATAAGATCTAATTCTTATTTATTTAAAAATTAACTTAGTAATAAGTTGATTTTATTAGATTGTTAACAGTTATTACTATAATAACTTTTTAAATAAATAAGAATTAAATATTATTTTTAGTTATAAAGTTCTGTAGTTTTAATAAAATCTTTTAACAGTTTTTTTATTTTATTTGTTATTATAATTAGATTTTGTTTTTTTTTTCTTCTTTGATGATCTTGTCAAGGTTATTCTCATATTCTATATCTTGAATTAATGTTCTTAATGTTCTTAGTCATTAGACCTTGATTTTTTCTGGTTTGTGCTTTTAAACTTTTTAAGAGCAATCTGTCATATTGATTTCTGTCAAAATCAGAAGACTTTGTCTAGAATCAGCTATCATTATAAGTTCATGTAGTATTTCTTATTGTCAAACTTTTGGTCTTATATTATGTCTCATAATTTTAATTATTTCAAATCAGACTCTAATTCATATTTATCATTAAGTAGTTTCTCAATTACAGGTTATTTGTCTTTTCTAGAAATAAATTTGTCTGATAATATCTCAGGTCTCTGATGTTGCAGTATTGCAATTCTCTATTTTAGAAATGCATCTCTACAATTGTTATCATTAGAATTTGATTGATAATCTTATGATTTATGACCTCAAAGCATAACTACTATGTTATTAATCCTAAAGGTTGATTTTGTTTTTTTAAAAAATATTTTAAATTGCATAAATAATATAAAATTAAATTTAATTTATTAACTAATCAAACAAACTTTTGTCTATATTAAAATATAATTTTATATACTATATAATTTTTTAAAAACTAAATTATATAAAATTTTAAGTTTGAATTTTTACTAATTTTTAGTTTTTAGTTTATAAAATATTTAGTAAAATTTTAGTTTTTTTAAAAACAGATATAAGATATAACAACTTAGTGAAGTGATCAGATTATCAACCTCTCAAGTGGTAAGTTGGATGTTCAAATCTCATTAATAGTAAAAATTTGAATAACTACTTATATAATATTTATATTACAACAACTGTTACTAATGATTAGATTAGAATACCTATAATGACAATTATACTAGTATGATTAGCAGATTATAAAACATCTGTACAATGTTGAAATTATACAAAAGAATGTAAACTGATAACTAGTTAGTGTAAACACTAAATAAGTTCTTGTAGTTATTGTTACAGAGTTGTAGCCTTCTTGGTACAATACAACCAAGTAACAAGGTCACTCAGTACAGTGATTAACTATTACAAATATATACGAGGTGGAAGTGTAGTAGTTCACTTTACTACACAGCAGCAGGCAAATGGTTTGAGATAGTAACAGTATATAAATTAGCTTTTATTAAATAAACATACAGTGACAACCTTGCCTGTAGGAATTATTCTAGAGGGCGAATATCATTTTTACAAGTTAAAGGTAAAGATAGAAGGGTCTAGGTTGAAGTATAGGAACTTAGAATTGGCAGGAAAGGGTGAAAGCTACCCTTTATATATCTTTTTACCTAGCGGGAATAATGGAGATTCGAGCAACATTACTTGATACTGTACTCAGCGTAATGGAGGTTCGAACAACATTAGATATCATTGTATTTGGGACAATAAAGGTTCGAATAACATTAATGCTACTGTGCCTTGGGGGTAGTGGGAACTGTGTGGGGGCAACTAGGGATATTGTTTATGCTATTTGTTATTTGTGCTTGAAACACTTGGAGCTTGTGTTTAGGCACTTGGATCCATGCAAAGGCACTTGGGATTTGTATTAGATTTTGGTCTATTAATTATAATTAGTTTTTTTATATATTTTAATAAGTAGACAATTATTTAATCAAATTGTTTTTATTTGTTAATAATATCTTTAAATATATTTTTTAATTAATATAAGTACAGCTAGTCATATATATAACTTAAGTTATTATCTATTTAAGAGTTTTACTTTAAAATTACTGCTATTTGCTATATCTGATTCTTGCTTATAAATGTTTTATTTAAGTTTTCTGATTTTTCTAATTAGTATTTATATAACTTTACCTATTTATTCTAAGGCAAGTTATTTTTATATTGCTTCTTATTAAGAATCATCTAATTTTAATTTATTTATTTTTGTATTAGTATCTAGATTGTTGTATATTTCAAAACATATTTGGCAATAAGGCTTAGTAAGTTTTTCTGCTAATTAACCTATTTAATTTATAGATTTTAATAAGATTATGCATTTGCAAGTTTATCTAAACACTAGTACATAATTTATTTTTTTTTTTTAAGTGAGATCTTTTCTCTAGTTCTTTATTTTCATAATATATAATTAAGTATAACTAATACAAATTGATACATTAAACTAAAGAAGTAGAGGTTAGGACTAATTTATCCTTAACCTATTCTTAGCTAAAATAATTAAGAAACCTCTAGTCTATAGGTTTAGTAAGAGAGAATGTTTAGTTTAAATGTATAAATCTATTAAGCCATAAAGTATATTGTCTATCTATAGATGTTAGTGATGTATAGTCTGAATTAACAGTTGTAATTGTTAGTGCAGATGAAATATGTTATTAGATATATGTTTTACTTGGTTTTCATATATATTTATATATTATTTTTGTAATTTAGTGATAAATTTTTGATAGTAAGTTCTTTTTTAGTAAACCTAATTCATATAAATTATTTGTTATAATTCCAATCTGAATTTGTTGATCTAAGTAGATGTTTTAAATTTTTTAAGCTAGGTTTGTTAATATAGTTGTTTTGATTTCATTATCTTTACAGGTTTTTGTTATTGCTTCTTTTATTATTTCTTTTATTTCTACTTGGTTATATGAGCAAGTAAGCATATAAACTGTCTTCTAATATGTTCAAACATTTTGCACAATATGAATTGGTGTGAGTTGTTAAATTTCTTTTATGAAGATTAAAATGTGTTAATAGTTCTGAAGTTAGAATTTTGATTTTGAATGTTTTTAAAATAGATTTTATAGGATCAGTATGTTTACTAAGAGGTTTGCTTTTGAAATTAAGATATTTAAATGTAAGTTTCTAATTAATATTAGGAAGATTGTCAATGATATGTTTTATATACTTCTGATTATTCTATGTGATAATTGCTTCTGCTTGTTGTAGGATTTTAGATATTTAATGAATCATATATATAGTTAATGTATTCATTATGAAGGAAGTAAAAGTAGTATTCAGTATACTATTAGGTAGCAGATCAGTGTGAAATTAACAGAAGGTATTTTTTCTGTTAATTTTTTCTTCTGTTAGGTTGATTTTAATCTTTAAGTTTTTAGTATTGATAATGATATTAAGAAGAATGATAATGTTGTTGAAAGAAGTTTTCTTTAGTTGATTTTTCTGTTCAGATAACCTTGTAAGCATTGTTGAAATTTTAATAAAGATGTTGTTTTTGTTAATTAATATTTGAATTTTTGTCTCTTCTGTTATTACTGTAAAGATTATTGCAAGCATTGTGAACATTGCATAATTTGAAGAAGGAAATATTTGGTTGGTGCAATGCCATGTATGATCATTATGCTAAAATGATAGTTAAGTATAAAGAGTGTTGTATCTATTTGTTTTCTTGAAAATAGTTGTAAGTTTAAGGTTTAGTTCTTTTGAGAATGAACTTGTCATATATAATTTCTATATTTTTTTTTGGTTATTTGCAAAAGTCTGTAAAAGTTAATAGTTGGTTTAGTATTTTGAAGTTGAGAGTAAATATTTGTAATTTTGTTTGGGTTGTGTAGTTGTTTAATAAGAATATAAACAATTAAAATTTGTATGAATTTGTTTGTAACAGTCAACTTGAATTTTAAAGATCAGGTGTATAGGACTAATAAAATAGCAATAGGTTGTTTTGAATTTTGGGTTTTTTGATTTGGTATTCAAGATATGATATTAGTTGGTGAGCATTTAACAGATAAATGTTATAATGTTTGATTTTGGCCTGATTATTGGTAATGCTCATTAATTTTTCAAATTGTTGTAATTTTATTATTATCCATTGTGAAGTTATAGTATTAATTTTTATGAAAGTGTATAGGTTAGGATAGTTTAGTGTTGTAGATAAATTTGTTAATATGATTATATTGTCTGTAATTGTTTTAAACCATTTAGGTGTTTTTTCTCTTGGTATTTTTTGTATATTATAATAAAATAATATTCAATTTAAGATATTGTAATTTGAGTGATTAAAGAATTGTTCGATACAAGTTATATTGTAGTTATTTAGTTTTTCTTTGATTGCATATGGTTGTTTTATTAAATAAAGGATTTGGTTATTAGATGTGCCTTTTGTTTGTTTGGATATAGGTTATAGATTAGTTGTATATTCTAGCTAAATATTTAATAAGTAAAGTATAATTATTATTTGAGCTATATTTATTTTAACTTTATTTGTAGTTAGTATAGATTGTTCTAGTAGAATTGATTTGTTTGAGTTGGCATTATTTTGAATTTGTTGTAATTAGATTTTTAAATTGCAATTATCAAAGTTAGGAAAATTAATGCTTTGATCTAATGTT